TCTGAATTATCACTTGGTAACTCTTAATATACTCCGCAGGAGAACTCAAAATGGCTAACGAAATAAATAGCTTCTCATCTTGATACACTGAACCTCTTCGCGTAATCGAATACCGTAGCGGTGGGTGTTTTTTCATAAATAAAAGATGACTGCTCCGTAAAAAAGGAATATTTTAAACCAATTAGGCTTCTTTCCTTCCACCACTCTGCCTTCCTGATAAATATCCCGTTTTATTCGTTGTTCAATTTGTTACGCCACACTTTGAATTTTAATCACACTCTCCCAATTTCCAGGGAGTTTTTTGTAGGCGGAAAGTTCGGAAAGATTCTCACAATTTAGATTATACGCGACCGAAGTTTGGCGGTTTTCTGGAAATTAGATGAGGATAATCTAGCGTTTTTCGAACAACGTTCGAAACGTTTTATCCATCGAGAATCGTTTTAGATTCGAACAGGTATGCTTTAAGCATATTGTTATGTACAAAGTAATGGGAATAAAGTACAGTTTGAGATTTAGGTTTTAAATAAAACCGAATCAGTGTGTGATGTATACAGGGTGTCCGCAAAGTTGGGGTTTTCCTTTACACGACGTGTAGATCTTGAAAACATAAGCAATTTTTCTTAGTACCATATACACCAATGTCTTAAGGGAACCGAGATAAAGGGCTCTGCAACATCAAAAATATCTGAATACCGTCCTGTAGCCGCGACATCCCCGACTGGTACTAGGACACTAGCTCAACCCGACGACAGAACTGGGTTGGGGTCAGTGTGTCAGGTCAGTATGCAACCGACGGTTACGGTCACGCGTGTAGAGGTAAACGAACCCGTATAATCGATTGCGTTTCAAAAAAAAAATAATAATAATGCCACACTCATATACCAATAATGAACTCGTTGATATGTTATTAATTTATGGCGAATGTCTTCAAAATGCTACAGAGGCTTCGCGAGTGTATGCAGATCGTTTCCCTAGACGACATCATCCAAGGCCCCGAATCAATGTGGTTTCTGCACGATGGTGCACCGCCCCATTTTAGACGCGAAGTGCGTGAGTTTTTGAATGAATTATTTCCGAATAGGTGGATCGGACGTAATGGACCCGTAGCGTGGCCTCCGCGATCTCCAGACTTAACACCATGTGATTTTTTTCTATGGGGAGAAATGAAACGCTTGGTGTACAAAACTGAAGTGCATACGGTTGACGAACTTCGTCTCAGAATTGAACAAGCTGGTGCTTTCATTCGGGGGAGGGACTCCATTCTCAAAGCCTGCACCGATGCTTGACTACGTCGTGCACGCACCTGTGTTTTTGAATCAAACGGCGATAACTTCGGACAATACCTATAAAGTACGTTTACCTAAAAACTGAAAACGCGGCAACGCCATCATGTTTGTTACCTCTGTTCGTGGTCTGCACCACCGCCTGCGCATCAGCTGATTTCATTTACTGTTGGAGCGGTATGATTTCGGGCAGAGACGTACTTAGCCCTTCTCGTCAACTGGAGAGTGAGTACTTTTTCCTTTATTTTTTTTACTTGATCGCCCTCGTTTCGCTACACATTACCTTTGTCATTTCAAGGGTAGTTGTTTCTGAAAAGGACAACCCCAACTTTGCGGACACCCTGTATTTTGCTACTTGGTAGCCCAATAAGCATTGGTTCTTATACGAATTGCCGATTGTGGCAGAATGATGAACGAGTAACTTTTTCATGAAAGTTGATTTATGGTTTGGATATCAACAGGAATTTCGATTTTCCCAGCGATTCGCTTTTCCTGAGTTTCCGCCAGGTATACGAGAGATGCTAGAAAAGAAATCTACCCAGCCATGAAAAAAGAAAACGATTGAAACCCACAAGCATAATGTGTGGTAGGTGAGACTTCTTTGCATCATTAGGATCCTGAGGTAAAAACAAAATCCAAGCAGTGGGTTCATAAACTAAGGTGTCAAAAAAAATAAAGTTCTTTTTTTCAAAAGCATTACCCTCTGATTTTGCTTGAACAATGTCAAAACAATTGTAATTAAAGCTTTATGTATCTAGAACCAGGGCAACCCGTGCCGAGTTGCGTTGGAACATGTCAAAACTAGTTCTGCTGTTTTTATTGAGGCACTTGGACATAACACTGACGATTTTCCTAAAAGCAAGTACTCCATTCACCGAAAAGCGAAATGAGGGCGCAGCTCTGTTAGATATCTGCCTGCTCATCGTGACAACATACGCGAAATCGTGGTTGCAATACATTTCAGCGGTAAAAGCACCTAACCAGGCTTGGCAGGTCGAGATTTTTCGCATACCAACAATGTCTTACTTCTCAACCTTGTTACGTATTATACTATTTTCAGTCGGTAGCAGAAACATGCCATTTTCGCTTAGCAACTTGAAGAACGCGAGCGCTGTCCCTAACATTCTTACAAAGCGTCGCCAAATAGTTAAGAATCTGCAATCCGAATTCGTACTTGAACCGCCGCCAGGGGTCGCGATTCCCGTTTCCTTTTTCGGGTCGCTAGATCGGTTCTGCGTACGCTCGACCCAAAAACTCTTGACGAGATTTCGAACTGCTTTAAAAACCGATTTCAATCGTCTTCTCGTTCCGTCTGACCCCGATGTCTACTTTAAGAAATCTGTATTCAATATCTTACATATTATGCGTGTACCTGTGTGTGTGTATTGTGGGTCGGTGACCCGTCGATTCTTTGCATAACAATATGCGCATACACACGGCATACAGCAATATAATAGGCTTTTTCTGTGGATAACCTATAAAATTAATCTGGTAATGGTTCTTTTACGGCGAACGGCGTTCTATTGACATTCTCAATCGATTGTATAGGAAGCCATGAAAAATTGAAAATCGGGGGAATTCACATGTAAAGCGAAATATTTTATGCATCGGAAAATAAGGGAAATTAGAAAGTGTCATACAATTATTAGGGTCACACTAAAATAAGCGAATTTCGGAAAAATGTATCACTGAAATAATAAACAATAGTTTAAAAAACACGCTTTTATAGCTAACCGAACTAAGAAGTAGAAAATAATTTTTAATTACAAAGAACAATCATAATTAATTATACTTCTAAAAATTATCGAGATACTGACTTTTTAACGTTATTTCATCATAAATAATTAAAAATGCATCGAACCTTAAAAATCGAAATATCCCAAAAACGGCTAACTATAACGAAAATTCACAAGAGAGCTTTTTTATGTTGAAAAGTGCGAAGAATCATTTTTTTTATTCAAAAAGCAAAAAATTGCACTAAGAAAATTTTTTGGGTCATTTTAATACACTACAGGTACTGTAGAGAGCGCCCTCTAGCGGCTACAATAAAACTATGCCCATGGTTCGTTTTGTCGTACCAAAAAACCCTTGTATACCAATTTTCACTGTTATGCATCAAATATTGTTCTAAATATTTAAAAAAAACTATTTTAGAAAGTAATTTTAAACACCCTGTATTTCGGAAGCCACGCATTTTTCGACCCATGTTTATATAGACTTTATGCATTAATTTTAAAAGTTCTATCGAATCTTAAAGTTATGCAACAATAAACTGAAGTTTCAAATTAATCAAACTTCTGGAAATTGGTGAAAATTATGCTTAAAGATTATTACAATTAAAGATGTTTACAAATCATTTTTGGAAGGCACCTTTAGATGAAAAATATATGACAGTATTTTGACACATAGAGCTGAGTATCAGCGACAACAGGCGAGTGTCAAATCCAATTTGTGGGTGAAAAAATAGTACAGGAGAAGTAGGAATAATATATATATATATATATACCGGAATTTATTAAGGAAAATTTGTTTGGGAAACGATTGGAAAAATATTTATTGTTATCGATGGACAATGACACTGAACTGAATAGATATCAGTTTTTCATTCATATTATTCTCGTATCAAGTATCACCGCCAAATTAATCTCATTATACACGTCGACGTTTGAGAGAAACCTCTAAAGCAAAACTTATTCTAAGCACGTAAGCAGAATAGAATTAATTCAATTCCGTCCCTCCCTTCCTGGATCGAACACACAACCACAGTCGTTGTTTATAGACAGCTGATCCGCTTATCGATACTCTTCTGCTCCCCGTAATAACACGTGAGCTGGGGAACAGTTGTTTACTGATTGAAACCTAAACATAGTCGAGAAGCCCTATCTTATGCCCTGTACAGGTTTTCGCAGAAAACACCCGAGAAGCATCAACACAGCTTATACCATATACGGTCAAGGTCAGGTCTTTACTAACTTTCATCAAGGACTGATCAACGGTGACCATCAGCCTCACATTCAAAGTTATTTCAATATCAATTTTTGTTTTGTAAACGGCAACTGGAAGAATAGAAAATTCTACGTAGAAATATGTATTAAAATCTACGTTCAAAATCACCCCTAAAGGTCAAATGTGCGAGGCTAGAGAAAATTCCTAAAAGCTTATAAAGCCAGTCCTGAAGTCAATTTCAACAACGATCTCCATATCCTTATCTCAAGGTCATAATTGCCGGTGCAAAAAAAGTTGACCTTGATATCACTTTGAGGGATAGGTTTATGGTTAAAATTGAAATGCTTGTTAACAGTTACTAAACAAGATTATTCTTCGTCGATAATAATGCTGAGTTTTTTGGCATTATCCCTGACAGTCTCACACATTTTAACCTATTGAGATAACCTTGGATTTGGATTTTGAAACACGTTTGGATCGTTCTTCGATTACCGATATCAAAAAGGGGAATCTCCATTTAGAAAACATGAGTTGACTTTTGAAGGTGACAGTCAAGGTTAAATCCTGACCTTGGCCTGGTTCAAAAATGTCTTTCCTGTTAAAATACAGATCCGTTCCGTTTCATTTGTTATGTGGATTGTCTTTTACTGTTAGAGGCTCACGTATGTATTCTCCAACTGTAGCCCGTCATTTATCTTCAAGACATAAACATACTAACACGTCCTCGATTTCTTTATATTTACGATATTAATAAACCATTCATCAACTTACCCTTCCAACGAAGAATCTCCTATAACACTTCGCAGTATCATCCGTTTCGATTTTGGCCCGCCACGTGGGGTGAGGAATGATGGGCAAGCCCCTATGGTCCATCTGTTCCTCATGATCAGTCCCGTCTACCCAATATCCACCTTTGTGGGGCACTGCGATCATTGGATAGGGACCTGGCCTATCCAGTATTTCCTGAAATAAAAAATGTCGCGGGATAAGATAGGAAGAAATCACCTACCTTTTCAACTATCCGGAATCAAGTACAGCTGGCAAATGACAGTGTTCATAAAAGCCCAGTTGTCGATGTGCGGTATAAAACTTTCCTGTCTAACCGAAAACTCACCTGCAGCAACCTCTTCGACTGCGCCGGCTGTTGCGGCGACGCGGGCGGTGTCTGCATCTGCTGTAGCGAAGAGGGGGGCGTGACTCCGCCTCCGTTGGGCGTGCCTTTGACATTGTTGTTCACCGATAGGCGGTCCGCGATCGCGGCGATTGGATCCTTGGCGCCGGTGGGCGTGGTCACTTCCGACGGGGCGTGGCTGCTCGGCCGACTGGAGGGCTGGAAAGAAATAGGCCGGTGAGAATGGAGACGACGACGTTTATGGTTAAAAAATAAAGTGTAGCTATACAAGATTGAGGCAAAGCTTTTGTATCAAAATTTAATAGTTCGATGACACCGATTTACAAAAATAGAGAAGGGAGATTTCACCCACTTGGTAACGTTTGTCCGCCGACTTGAAAAAAATACGCGTCTCTTACATTTTGACGTAAAATAACATATTGAAAGGTCACGAAAATGTAAGACCTCCTATATTGCGTTTTAATAATAATCAGTACGTTTAACCTCTAAAAAAATATAAAGCAGACGTTTACAATAAACATATAAAGTCAAATGCTAGACATACTAAGAAAAAGATAATTTATGTGATTTCTCTGTTCAGTACAAATGACCGCAATTCAGTATTTTTGAGATACAGTCAAAATTTATATCACGAACGTTGTTTCTTTAGCAAGATTTCTCGCTGGGTGTCCAGAGCAGATTGCAAATGAAATACTTCGCTCGAAAATAACATTTCCTAAGTATTTTCACAGGACGCTGTTTGTCAGTAGCAGTGCACGTTTGCCTCCACGTTTTCTGGCCAGGTGGCATTAGTCTTTCAAACGTGTTGTTCCTTCTAATGGCTTTTATTTTTAGATTACGTTGGCCTGGTAAAACGAATAGTTCGAGACTCTAACGTGCCACAGGTTTTTTTTGCACAGGGCAGGCATTCTATCTGGTGAACTGACTATTTCGCAAATTATTGTTTCTACAAATCAAAGGTAATTCGGAGACAATATACGAATCGACAATTGTAACAGTTTTTGACTATCGAGCTGGAAAATAGTTTTTCTATTTCTAGGTAAATGATGAGAACAATATACATACAGGGTGACTTTGAAGTTGAGTCATTAATTTTCAGATAATGATTGTAGAAGGAAGATAAACCAAAATATGTGTGTAAAAATAAAGTTGTACTACATTAATAAAGGCACGAGGGGTTGGTTGCACTTGATTGGGAAACCGATCCGCATAAATATGTGCCATTTTTTATTTCGTTTGAGCCACGCAACAGACACCACTATTCACTCACGCGTTACCGACTGACACTGACTGTATACAACTGAATAAAATAATTGTAAAAACATCGTTCCAAATTCTTTCGCTTTTTTGTTTCCGATGCGATGAACCGATAAGGCGGATTATATCCGTTGTTGCCAAACACGAGCACATAATATTATTGAGACAGGGCGGTACTCAAACTTCCAAAGGGCTGTAACTTTGTTACTTTAATTTCACCAGAAAAATGGTAAAGGAAGAAAACATTTCTTTTGATCAGATCTACTCACTGTTAAAATAAATGACTCAACTTCGAAGTCACCCTGTATATGCGAGCAGCAGTCATTGCCGACACCAACGACCAGTTGGGCAAACATTACAATTAAATTGTTTATTGGGAATTGGTGAACTTAATGCTTAGTTAACTCTTGTGACGGAAATCTCGAGCTTTCGACAAACTGTGTTGTCGTCTTCAGGAGCTAAATCACAATTATGAAAATAGCAACCACTTTAGAACAGATTTGAATTTTCAAATTACTTACTCGTCGGTGAGGTTGCTGCTAATTGTTTTCGGACGAAAGCGTTGACGAGAACACTTGTTATATATATATATATATATATATATATATACTTTTTCTTTCAAATGATATCGTGTAATTGACGCTTATTGCACAAACAACATAAGACCGGGACAGTATCCCTCATTTGTTTCATTTGTATGACTGAGAAAGGCCTTTACATATACGCTGAATATTTTAAAAAAACTTTTTTTTCGCTTTGCCTGATATAGTTTTTATTGTTTCCAAAAATTCAAATGATGTAACTGATGAAGTTTTTTAAATTCAGTTCCTCGATAGATTATGGGCCAATTTAAATATAGTTGAAATAAGTGATTAAAAAAATTGTATTGCCGGTAGCTGGTAATGAATCACTTTGATATTAATCCGACCACCTCCTAGGTGCCATAATAATTCATCTCTGTTGCTTCCAGGCCCCAACATCTATTTTTATTAACTGCCTGGCTCAATGTAAATAATTTTCGTCTAAGAATATACGAGAGAATATTCCCAACAGCAAACTGGGCTTTATTTACGGCTTAAGCCTAAAACCCCTTACAATACAGTGTTACAGACTGAAATAATGGTATTTATTTTAACTTGGTAGTGGCATAGTTGCCACTTGTATAAAATCGTAGCTAAGTGCCTCAAGAAAAACATTATGATAGTTTTTTGTAGACGACGTTTAGTAACTATGTACATCACTGTGCATCACCAGAAACACGGATTTTCAGATTCCTAATTAAAAAAAATGGCACTGGATAGTTCCCTGTTTACATGTTTCTCTCAAGTCTTGTGGCACCCAAACATTTTACTGTGTCTATGGTCACACAAAATTATTACCATGGACAGTGTCCTTGAAGAATCAAGTGTCAGTTTATGTGATAAAACCGGTTGTCTAGATTTTTTGTATATCCAATATTCGCATAAAACAGTAGATCATCGATTTGCTAATACAGATCATTGTTGTGTTAGGTTTTTGTTTGTATTGCAATTAGGAAGGTAATTTACGTATATTGAAAATAAAAGTGGTCCCAGCACAGAACCCTGTGGGACGCCACGTCGTTGTAGTGGAGGTAGTGTTGTTGAACGTTACTGTTACTCAAATAAGATGACAAGATATTATTGCTACTACCACAGCCGACGTCAACTACGAGCCGTGAACAAAGAAATCTGGCAACGTAGGTGGTAGTGTTACTTCCGCCGCTGCTTGCTGCATCGACGCAACTCGTGCTCAAAACGCTGAGAAAACATAATCTTTTCAATTTGTGATTTTGGAATCCTAGAGGCTGTAATTAAGAGATAAGCTTGTTTTCTAAGCTTCAAAGTGTGTGTGTGTGTTCAAAGTGGTCGGTGACTATAATATATGAGAAATAGACTCCAGTTGTAGTGCTTCTGTGCTTTAAAAATAAACTAAGAAGTGTGACTGGCTGTTCGCGCCTCAGGACGCTAAGGATTTCAACTATTGAAAACGTGCAAATTCAGGTTGTATTTTTCTTTTTTCATTTATCAAGTATTTGACGCAGACAGTATGCCTCGTTGTTGCTGTGTTCCTTTATGCAATGCAAACTATAATTCTGCTTTGAAATCAGAAAGCTATGTTTCAACTTTTCGCTTCCCAAGTACCGAAAGTCTGAAAAACAAATGGCTTATGGCAATTCCCAGAAAAAATTGGACACCTTCAAAATATTCAGCTGTGTGCAGTCGTCATTTTAGAGAATCGGATATCATCAGGACAGAAAATATAGTTTTGGCGGATGGAACAGTCCAAAATAATATACCTTTGAAATATCCAAAATTGAAAGAAAATGCTGTTCCCTCCATTTTCCCAAACTTGTCATCATATCTTTCAAAAACTGAAGCACCCAAAAGAACTGACCCAATGCAAAGAAAACAAAAATTAATTGAGAAACATGAAAAAGCTATCCAGAATGTCGATGATATGGATAAGATCAAAGATAAATTTAGTTCAAAAATGTGGATTTGAAGTTATTTGTGTTGTTACTGATAATCACCGAATTAATAGAGCAATGTTCAGGAAATTAGCAAACGATTCATCAGAAAATTATTCTATTCCAAATCCACATAATCCTGATAAGAACATATATTTAACTTATGATGTTGTGCATATTTTCAAGAGTATCAGAAATAATTGGATTAATTTAAAAAACCTAGACAAAACTTTTGTATATCCTAATTTTGACAATAATGATATTATTCAGTATGCTAAATTTGAAAACATTCGTACTGTATATCAATTGGAAAAAGAAGCTGTAGTTAAGAAAGCATATAAATTAAATTATAAAACATTGCATCCAAATTCATTTGAAAGGCAAAATGTAAATTTTGTAGATAATTTATTCCATCACTCAACAATAGCTGCTATGAAAGAATTAAAGTTTAATGATGCTGCACACTTTTTGGAAATAATCAGGAATTGGTGGGATATTGTCAGTAATACAAGTGTAATAAAAGGAGAATTGAAGTGAAACGAATTTTGTAAGCATATTACCAATAAATATGATTATAGAGTACAATTTTTAAAAAATTCCTGATATGGTTAGAAAAATGGATTTCTTGGTTACCAAACAAAATCCTGAAGTTTTGGATATATTCAATGAAGTATTTGAGACAAATTACTTAGCCAATTGTGACATAGAGGATAGTACTAAGACTTATATATCTGGATATGCTTCACACGCTATCTCTGAAAACCTAAATTGCGAGATATGCAAATCGCTAATAGTTAAAGAAAAAGGTTCATTAACAACAAATGTTTATTTTGATCATTTGCGAAGAGGAGGACTGTCAATTCCAACCAGTTATGTACCAATCATATTCTACCATATGTATGCCATTTTTGAATCTATTATTAATGTAGATAGATTGGAAATTTTCTTCTTGAAAAGCAATAATTAAAAATTTATTTTGTGTCAGTTAACCTTGCTCAGAATTCAGTCTGACTTTATATGCAGTGAATTTTCTTTAACTTGCATCTGTGGCCGCAATTATGCAGATATTTTATCTAAGCTTTTGTCTATTTTTTCAAACATAATTTTGAATGATTATGTAAAATTGAAAAATAACAGTAAAACTGAAAGTAAATGTATTAAAAACAAACAGGTAACTCCACATTTCCAAGGTGGGCCTGTTGGAACACAGTGTGCTGACACCAAAAAACGTAAACTGAATACTTTTAATTAGGTTAACTGCATTAGCGACTCATATATATCACGATTATTTCGTATTTTTAAATTTTTTAGGGCTATTTCATATTCAGACGATTTGTATCGAATCGAACTGACGTTCACAGGTAGCACTACCATGCCGTCCGAGCGCGGTGTTGCCTTTCTTTCATCACGGCTCGTAGTTGACGTCGGCTGTGGTAAGATTAAAAAAAATAGGCAACACTGTACGATGTGCC